CAAAGCATTTTAAGATATGACACCAAAGCACAAACACAAAAGAAAAATTAGATAAATTGGACTTTTATGTTTCATAGGATACCATTAAGAAAGTGAAAGTGTTTGTATACCTTAAATTTACACAATGTTACATGTCAGTTACCTATCAATAAAGCTGGGGAAAAAAGTAAAAAGACAATTACAATCCATGTATCTGGTAAGAGATTTTTATCCAGAATATATAAAGAACTTTTATAACTCAATAATAAAAAAGATAAATAACCAAACTTAAAAATGGGCAAAAGATCTGAATAGACATCTCTGCATATAAGATGTACAAATGACCAATAGGCACATGAAAGGATGCTTAACATCATTAGTCATTAGGTAAGTGCAAATCAAAACCACAGTGAGACATTTGTGTGGAACCACGAAAGAATCCTAATAACCAAAGCAAAATCTTGAGAACAAAGCTAGAGGCACCATGATGCTTCCTGATTTCAAGAGGTACCATACTTCCTGATTACGAGCTGTCATATAAAGCTATTGTAACCAAAACAATATGGTATTGGCATAAAAACAGATGCATAGATCATTTGAACAGAACCAAGACCCCTGAAATAAACCTATACATAGATGGTAACTAATTTATGATGAAAGAACCAAGAATGTATAATGGGGAAAGGACAGTCTTCCTAATAAATAGCATTGGGAAAACTAGGCAGCCATATACAAAAGAATTAAACTGGACCACTATCTGACACCAAACACCAAAATTAAATAAATTAAAGACTTGCATGTAAGACCAGAAAGTATATAACTAGAAAAACAACAACAACAACAACACAGGTGGTAAGGTCCTTGACATTGGTACTGGTGATTATTTTTTGGATTTCACACCAAAAGCAAAGGCAACTAAAGCAAAAATAAAATAAGTTGGAGTACATTAAACTGAAAAGCTTCTGCACAGCAATAGAAACCATCAATAGACTGGAAAGGCAACCTACTGAATGGGAGAAAATATTTGCAAATCATATATCTGATAAGGGTCTAATATCCAAAATAAAGACTTCAAACAACTCAATAGCAAAAAAAAAAAAAAATCTGATTTAAAAATGTGCAGATCTGAATAGACATTTTTCTAAAAAAAGACAGATGGCCAACACATACATGACAAGGTGCTCAATATCATTAATCATCAGGGAAATGCAAATCAAAACCATAATGAGATATCATATTATACCTGTTAGAATAGCTATTAT